CGGCGGGTCCCCCCGGGTGTCCCCTCCGGGCTGGGGGTGCCCACCCGTGAGCTCACCTTGCTGGTGAGCGGCATGGGCAGCATGGCGCAGCCCTTCTCCAGCACCTCGCCCAGCTCCTCCAGCGTCTCGTTCTTGAGCAGCTCGTTGTCGAAGTAGGTGATGAGGATCTGGCACACGTTGCAGAAGGCGCCGGCGCTCACCGCCAGCCGCTCCAGGGATTCGGCCCCTGCGGGACACGGCCATCAGCGCCCAGCGGAGGGGACAGGGGCCGGCCGGGCTGTGGCTGCCAGCTCACCGGGCCGGGTGTCCCCGCCGCGGGGACAGCAGCGCAGCATGGCACACACGGCCGCGGGGTCGGTGGCCTCCAGCAGCATGATCACCACGGCTTTGCCGTAGGAGTTGACGAAGTCCTTGCACTGCCCGATGACGCCGTGGGGCAGCATGTAACACACCTTCTCGATGTCGTTCACCAGCTGCTCCTGCCGGCACAAGGCACAAGAGGGAGACGGCGGCTCCTGGCTGTCCCCGCCTGCCCCTGTCCCGGTCCCCTCCCCAGCAGCTCTGGGGCTCACCTCTGTCACGTTGTTCTCCAGGAGGCTCTCCACCGTCCTCACGGTGAACTGGCACACGTCGCACAGAGGAGCGTTCCCCACCCTGTCCTGTCGGGACAAGGGGGTGGGACTCATGCCGAGCCCCCCCAGAGCCACCCTCATCCTATTCCGCCCTCATCCCCTTCCTAAGGCACTCCCCACCTTGGATAAATGGAGGTGTTTGCGAAATAAAATTCAAAGAAATGAGGCTCCCCCTCCGCAGCGTTTGGATTTTAAGGAGCAGGGCAGAGCCGAGGGGGTCCCCACTTACCCCCAGCATGCTCAGGACCTGCATCACCTTCTCTGTGAGCAGCGTGTGGAGGGGCAGTGCCGAGCTGGAGGCACAGAGTCCCAGCTGGCCACACAGCTCCATCGGGGCCTGGGGAGGAGGGACACATCCCAATTCAGGCGGGCTTTGGCCCCAGGGAAGGGAATTTCAGCGCATCGGGGCATGGATCTCACTTACCTCAGCCTGCTACCGGTGGAGGGGTCAGAAAATAGCAAGAAAAAATGAAAAAAAAAAATATATATATATATAATTG